TGAGATGATCAATGGCTATGAGGCACAGAGGAAGGGAAGAGTGAAGAGGTGGAGCACTGATAACCTACAGAGAAGTGAAATGCCCTGTACGATACTACGGTGAAGGACAAGTTATCTATCACACATGCATTTTACCAAATCCCCGTAATACGAGCCCTCATGTGAACCCTGGATATGGCAATAGTGATGCCAAGTCTAAGACTGATTACGGATTGTTATTATTATTATTGTCATTATAGACTGTTAATAAAATGTACCAGTCTGGAACGATATGTTGACAGTGGCAGGGGTCCTTTGATATTGTTGTTGTTTATTGTTTTTTATTTCCCTCTATTCTTTGTTCAAATGTTATTTAAATTCAGTTCATTGCTCTGTCTTAAACGGGCCCATCACAAACAGACTGAGTTAGCAAGGGCGGCTCCTCGGCGATCTAAAGGAGCTCTCGGTCACTGGAGAACTTTGTGGCTGGATCTACAATCTCACATAAGGTGGAATTGGTACCAAGAATTCAGAGTCAGAACCAAGACTAAATCTGTTCAGATCCAGGAGACTTAGAATCTGATTGTCCCATTTAAGATCATTAAGCACGATGCAGAGAAGAGAAAAACAAGGGTTCATTAGTAGACACTTAACTAGCTTCAAATAAATACCTTACACAATGACACAAATTTGCTTGCAGATAAGAGAGAGAAGTGGTGATAATACATATATAGAGCTTCATATTGTATTTGATAGTTCAGTTTTCTATGGAGTATCCTGGGAAATGTTTCATTTCTCCTGGGAAAGGAGGTTCACTACTCCAAGTTGGGGAAACCAGCTTAGAAACTTGGATAAAAGGTAGGGAAGGGAGATGGCTTCATTGTGGAGAAACAAAGGAACAGTGTTCAAGCTCTGGGTTTAACCAGACTCTATAAATGATTTTTGGTCTATTAGAAAATCTACATTCCTCAAATGTGTGATTGACACAAAATTTTCTTCGAGTGGGAGACACATCAAAAAGATAAATGCAGGAAATTCATACATTTATACAATTGGGGCCCAAGAGTGGCAACTAGGATGTTCAAGAGTTTTTAGGTAATAGTAAAAACTAATATTCATTCACAGCATACCATCTACCACCTCTGTTTTAAGCATTTGGCTTTAGTCAGGTGGTACAGTACATGCTTTAAATCCCATCAGCCAGGGGGCAGAGGTAGGTGGATTTCTGCATTGGAGGACAGGATGGTCTACATAGTGAGTTCTAGGCCAGTCAAGGTCTACTCAGTGAGAGCATGTCTCAAAAGAACAAGAATAAGAACAAGAACCACAATAAAAAACCCTTAGCATTTGGCATCTATTGCTTTCCTTAGCCTTGCAACCACCCTATGGAATTGGAGCCCCTTTAATCCTCCTTTTGTGAGTGATAAAACTGAGACCACAAGAGGTTAATTTAATCAGGTATTAAGCATCAGAGCCTGATTTAAACCTAGGGAGCCTGACTCAGAACTTGTGTGCCTTCCTGCTCTCCATGGGGCTTTCTCAAACCTGGAGAAGATGAAGGGAATGGAAACCAGGAAAGAAACTGAAAATCCAGAACAGTTTTTAAGGAAGGGAATATGAGTCAATGAGGAAACTCTTCCAGGAAAAGCCAAAACACAGCAAAACAAAACTGAAAATATACGCTGTCCTGTTGAGCTATGATTAGGATACATTTTTACATTTATTTGCATTTATGGGCCATTCAGGCCAAATTATTTTAGGAAGAACCTAGAGAAAGGAGGGGATTGCACAAATAGAGCAGATGAAAATGGAGATTTGCCAGGCAGTGGTGGTGCACACCTTTAATCCTTCCACTTGGGAGCAGAGGTAGGTGGATCTCTGTGAGTTCAAGGCCAGCCTGGTCTACAAAGTGAGTTTAGGACAGCCAAGGCTAAACAGAGAAACCCTGTCTTGAAAAAAAAAAAAAAAACAGAAAAAATAAAAATAAAATGGAATTTTGGGGGCTGGAGAGATGGCTCAGAGGTTAAGAGCACTGACTACTCTTCAAGAGGTCCTGAGTTCAATTCCCGGCAACCACATAGTGGCTCACAAACATCCGTTATGAGCTCTGGTGCCCTCTTATGTGCAGATATCCATGGAAGCAGAATGTTGTATACATAATAAATGAAATCTTTAAAAAAATGGAATTTTGGGAGAAAGTCTTAAAGAATAAAGGTTAATAGAATAAGGGAGTTAATAACCAGTGTAACTAAAATGGATACAAAAGTTACTCACTATTCATGAAAAAATGACAACCATGTAAGATGCAGAAAGGAGATAATAAGAAATGAATTATTGTCCTCATCACCCTAAGCATGACTGTGAAAATGTTTATATCTGTGTTTAGCAGATTCTTAGGAATGAGAATAAGTAACTCCTAAACATAGAGATGGACCTAACCCAGCATAGCAGTTCCAGTGATGGTGGTCATGGACTTCCCCAAGACAGTGTGTTTATAAAGAAAGCATGCAGAAGTAACTAACTTCATGGGCTCTTGAAATCAGACCCTGGTTCAAATTCCAGCTCTAAGGATCATAGAATAGTTACTTCATCCCCATGAGCTGCATGCAGTTTTGTCAACTGCCAACGGCAGGAAACCATACTTCACTGGGCAATTGGGCCTGGCACATAATTGGCTCTGGAAAAACGTTGACTGTTATTATAATGAAGATGACCCGACGTGTGTCTGCCGGGTGAGCTCAAAAAAGCTGAAGGATGTTGGAAGGGTTCAATTTGATTTTGCCATGAGCTGTGCTTCTCAGACTTGATCCTGAGCTTGTGTTTATATCTCCATGTACACAATGAGAGAGGGCTGTGACCTCTCGTCTTCAGAAAACACATACTTTTGCAGTAGCTTGCATATTATTTCTGGGTTACCTTTTTAAATGACTAACAATTACGTGGTGATCTCCTGTGTATTTCTTTTGAATTGTCTTTTTTTTTTTTTTCTTAGTTGCTTGGATTTATATGATGAGCCCTCTGTGCCTATGATTGAGTGTTTACATTTCTTTTCTTGGACTCAGTTAAGAATCCTTGAGTTCCTGGCCCAATCATACCTTAAGTAACAACAGCTAAGCCAAGACTCTCATGCAGGCCTTCTGTAAAGGCATTAACAAGTCTAATAAGAGATGAGATATGCTTGTTATGACTCACATATTGTCTACAACTTGAGTCTCTGTCCATTTTGCTTCATCCAAACATGACAGATGATCAGGCCATAGGGCTAGTTGTGACCCAGGTGTGTATTTTGCTGTTGGATCTGGAGAGCTCACCATGGTGAGCATGGCTATGAGATACACCCTAGTGAACTCAGCTGGAGATACACACCTCTTAGTGAACTCAGCTGTCATAGTTGTCCAGGAAACTACTGCTCCAGAAATTACTAGCCCTTTTCTCTTCTGTATTTTGAGGCGGTATCTCTACGTAGCCCTGGTTGTCCCAGAACTCACTATACAGACCAGGCTGTCTGGGAACTCACAGAGAGCCACCTGCCTCTTCCTACTGAGTGCTGGATTTAAAGGTGTGCTATGGAGAAAGGAAAGGGAGCAGAGAGAGCAAGCAGTTGATTGGCATCTGAGATTTTGAGCATCACTCTGCTATTTTTATAAACTGACATTCACCTTAAAGACATTGATTAAAGGGAGGAATATGTAACATTGAAGACAGACCAACAACAAACTTGCTCTCCTTATCCATCCTCCCTTCTCTCTTTTTATCCTTTTCTTCAGTTTTTCTGGCTTCAGTATCAAAAAAGGAATGAAAGGTCATTCTAATTTAATCTTTGCAACTTGGCCAGATGGACCTTAGCCCATGGGCCCCTGGCAAGTGAGTTTATTTCAGTTGCAGCTTCCCCAGGAGTCTTCACAACACTTGCTGAGGTGGAATCTACTTAAACATGTAATCAACATCCAAGTTAGCTTTAAATTTAAAAAGAGGGGGAAAAAAGATAATTTTAATCAACCATGTATGTGAATTACAGTGAATTTAGTTACAAATGAAAAGGTGCTTTGACAGAGATACATGACAGGGACAGAAAGATCTATATTCCAGCCAGGAGCCTTCAGGTGACCACCTTCATGTCACAGCCCCCTCAGCATTATATAGTACTTAAATTTGCTGATTTATTTTTTCTTCTTCCCATTTCATTATTAGTGACATTGAAAAGGTAATCTCTTGGCATTCTTTTTATTTGTTTGTTTGTTTGTTTTTTTCTTTTGCATCTAGCCATGTCTGGTTAAAGTTGGTTGGGAAGCATTTTGGTGTGAGAGAGAAGGTAAACGTGGGTAAACAGGAAAAGGGGCTTTGTGTTTCAAGTTGAGTCTAGACTCACCTGAAGTGTTCATTATAGGGGAAACCTTTGTACGACTTACAAATGATTAAGCATCTGTCTTTAAAACTTTTGTATTTATTTTCAAAATTAGCTTTGAACTGTCAGTAGTTACTCAACAGTGAAGGAAGCTTCCAGAAGAGTGGCTAACTGCTTCTACTAAGAGCACACTGGTTTAGGATGGTTCGCTGGTTCCTGCAACTTCGGTCCAAAGTCCCTTTTTCCTTGCTCAACTCGAACACACAAGGCTTGGCTGTTAAGGCTATTCTTCTCTTTGTTTTGTTTTGCTCTTAGCCATTTAATTAAGAATTCTGGATATAGATGAACTCTCTCTCCCACTCCTTCCCTTAGCTGTTTTAACTGACAGGACTAAGCACCTAATTCTTTGAAGAGTTTCCTATTTTGATGGCAAAAATCCTTGTTTATCTTACAAAAAACCATTTTCTCTGTATCTGTCAAGTCTCTAATCTTGCCCTTCTGGTTCAGGAAGGAACAATTAAGCAATCTGGCCATGTTTCTTCTGAAAGTAGGGAAAAAATACCAACCAACCAAAACAAAACAAAACAAGAAACCTTCAAGAGCCCTTGTGCTGAGTCATTATCAACACAGATACTTTTTCTGCACTGCCTGGGACAGTCAAAGCAGAAAACCTTTGTCTAAGCTGGAAGAAGTAAAAGTGGGAGTGGAAAGAAAGAAACTTTTTTTTTCTCAGCAGAACTTTATGACCTTTGAATTATGGACTTGTTGGAATTAATTTAGGGATTAGGTTACAATTTGCTTATAGCCGATTGTGGGATAAACTCATCTACTAAACCCCTTTAAACCTGAGTGACATGTATGTAGGACTGAACAGTTCTTCCAGACTCACTCTCCGAGGATAGCATTGTCGATTGCTCCTTTGGCTCCCCCACGCCCCACCCCCACATCTACTTTCAAACTCATGGGCGGCTGTGAGGGTTGCACATTTCCCTGTTCTGTGTCCCTAGGTGTACTGGGATGGGCAGACTGGTGTGTCCAGGGAAAACTGCGTTCCAGTGAGTGCCAGGTCACACCCAGACTACATCTTTCCAGCCTGGTGAAGCCAGAGGGAAGTAGAGATAGGAACACGGAATCCAAAGAGAAACTTTTGCCTTCGCCGGCATCATTTTCCTTAGATAGGCATTTGAGGAGTTCACCATTTTTTTTTTCCTTCTAATGAAAGAAGCCTGACCTGTTCCTCTCTCCTTCATGACTCACACATTCCTTCCTATCTAGCTCCGGTTTCCCGACTTCTGCCCCAGTGGCTACTTTTTGCCTTTTTCTTCTTTAGCCCCTATTACTCTTTGGTACCACATCTTCATCAGTGCCTCCTCAGTGCCAGACCCCAGGAGCGTTGGCGCCCTCTCCAACTTCCTGTTCAAGGATGCACATCTGTTCAGCGAGCGAGGAAAACCTCTGTCTTCTGATTCTGTAGGATGATACGTTTGTGTTGCTGTTGATAGGTCAGGCCCAACACCTCTCAGTGTAGGAGGACTTAGAGGTGGGGGTGGGGGAGGAACGCGATGGTAGAAGCCTGGTAAACAGCTCAGAGCCTGTGGAAGATCAGCACGTAAACGACTAGCCTGGAATCTGTTTTGCTGCACGGTGGAGCACTCTGACCCCTTTATCAGTGCGGGCTAGTCACAAATCCAGTTGTGTGGGTTTCTGCATGGAGTGGTTTTTTCTTCCACTTCTGTGGTATAGTTGAAGCCGTCGAAATACTAGTGGGTTTTGTTTGTTTTGTTTGGAGGTGGTTGTTTTGTACGTGTTGCTGGGGCTTTACACACACGCTTTGAAAAACCCTTAGCTATGCATTTTTTTGTACAAAATAAAAATTATCTACACATACATACAATAACAACTAGTGAAAAAAAGAGGCCCTGGATTTGAAGGGGTATATGAAAAAAGTCCAGAAGACAGAAAGGGAAGGGAGAAATGTAATTGAATTACATTCTCAAAAATAAAAATTTTTTGAGGTTATCTGCTCCCCTCTCTTTCTGTGTAGTTGTCAATCACTTTCTTGTGCTACTTTCATAATGCATCATGCGAATTATATAAAGCAATACACATATAAATAAAAGGGTAACATAGATTATTAATAGAAATTCAAGTATTTTCTCCAACGCCTGAGTAGGTCTTTATCGTGCGACATGTGGTGGCACACTGCGGTTTGGTAGCTGCTGTTGCAGGCATAGTTTACTTACTGGACTTAAGAATTTGGGGGAAATCATAGCTCTCTTCCTTGGATTCTTGGTGGGGACATGGTGAGGGAGATGCAGGGTGATGAACTGTTTACTGTCTTTCTCTGCTTCAGTTTATCTTTCTGATAATAGAGCTTTTTTATTTTCCAGAGAAATCTATTATATCATTCAATCCTTTTATTCTAACATGAAGTGGAGGTGACTTGTTACCTTTGGGTGTAGGAGGGGACCTCTAGTCTAGTTCTTGCCCTATGACACGAGGCAACTGAGTCATGGAGAAGAAGATAGTAGGCTTCTTGATGAGGGAGATAATGCTTGTTTTCTAAAAAACTGACCTCTCACCTCCTCTAAATTGTTTACCCTCCTCAGAATGCCCACATGCTTGAAGGCAGCCCCAGGGACTGTGTCCTGAAGGGAGTGATGCTGAAGCCAAGCACAGGCCTTGCTAAGTGATTGGGTTCATGCTTTAGCTTGTGACAGGGTTTGACCAAACTCTTTAGAAAACTTATTTTCTTTCTTTCTTTCTTTCTTTCTTTCTTTCTTTCTTTCTTTCTTTCTTTCTTTCTTTCTTTCTTTGTTCCTTCCTTCCTTCTTTCCCTCCCTCCCTCCCTCCTTTCTTTCTTCTTCCTTCCTTCCTCTCTCTCTTTCCTTCTTTTTTCTTTCTTTATTCCTTCCTTCCTTCCTTCCTTCCTTCCTTCCTTCCTTCCTTCCTTCCTTCCTCCCCCCCTCTCCTTTTTAGATACAAATGTTAGATATTTTCTTCCTTGTTCTGGCCCTTATCATTTCCTTGTGCTACAGACACTTCAGTAGCCACCTGAGGGCCACACTGGAGAAGCTAGCCTACAAGATCTGGCACAGTACAAAGAGGGTCACATGGCATGGAGTGAGAATTTTAGCCACAGTGGTACTTCTGAAACTCAGCTTCAAGCTGCACACAATAGCACACACTCTCGTTGTTGCAGCCAGTTTTAGATACTTGGAGCAAGGTGCCTAGAACTTTGAAACAACAGATGCTCTATGACAAGTGGTTCTCAGCCTTCCTAATGTAGTTCCTTCCTAAATGGCTCTTTAATACAGATTCTCATGCTGTGGTAATCCTCCACCATAAAATCATTTTTGTTGTTACTTTGTAACTGTAATTTGGCTACTGTTAGGAATCATAATGTAAATATCTGTGTTTTCCAGTGGTCTTGAAG